TAATGTTGAATGATGTTGTCGAGGACTTTCGATAAATGAATTCAAACGGTAGTTTGAAAATCAGGTGAGGGAATGGGAACATTCATTGTACGCTTATCATTGTCCGAAAAGATGTAAATGATGAACTCCAAATGGAATGGTATGCGTCATATGGTACTACGTTAGTATTTCGTTATAAGATACGTATTTCATGGTCTTCTATTGCACTTTGGTTTATGGGGTGGTGAAACAGTTTTTATCTCATTGAAGGAAATCCTAAACATTCATACACAAATCCGATTAAGAAAAGGCAATAGATGGTATAAAATAAAACTATATACTTTTGAACGTACTATGGACAACCGGAATCCTGCATGTCCTATTTTAAAACGTATGCGTCATGTACTTCTGAATTTGTATAGAACAGTTAGGGTTGTTACTGTGTGCATCACTCAAATAAAGAATAAATGCTTCAGTCTAAATGTTTTTCGTCACAAGCACTATCAGCCACATGCGGAACAGACCCCAAAAAATAACAGACAGCGTGATGATTTTGTTTTTTGCTCGAAAGTAAATGTTCATTTTAATTTAGAAGGACCTGATTCCTCCCTCCCCCCCTTCACAGTGTGATGTCTGGCAGTCTTTTGATTGACAATTGCCCTCTTCCTGTAAAATGTATCATTATGTATTCAATAAACGAAAGTAAAAATGCAGAGAATAAGGTGAAAATCCATCGAGTAAAAGAAAATCTGAAGCTGTTCACGAACTGCGGATAATGGATGGGAGAGGGAACTGGTGAATTCCTAAAATGCGATATGGAGAAGTGGGAGAACAAACCACTTCCCGAAATGCTTTTCGCATGTTTAACAAGTGTGTGGTAGTGTATGAAATACTGAATCCGATTGGTTACGTCAGCAAATAGTAATCCTCTGAATGCGACCACTATACTTTATGTAGCGAAATCACCTGACCTCAGGCGGTTTACATAGTTTTCAAAGATATTTTCAGCGTTCGAATAACAATGAAGCCTGCAAGCAAATCGAAATAAAATCAGCTTGGAATCGGTGAGAACCAGTACACAGGAATATCAGATTGGGTCTTGTAGGAATTTTCCCGATGTGGGCACAACGGATGTGCGTGATTATCGAATGCATCTTGTGGTTCACAAGCGAGACGTATTAGATGACAGGAATTTAAGTTGATACTAATTTCGTCTTCCATAATGATGAGCGCATCACTCATGATTGTCTGCAGTTTTCAGCAAACATTAATTCTAAAAATCTTGTGGGAAGTGTAGTATTGGGAGGTTGCACCATAAAATCACCTTTAGTTTATTCAACTCCGAACGTTTCCCATACATGCCGACACCATGAACAGGGTCCATATAGGAACAGAATGAAGCAAAACGTATCGGCGAAAAATTGTACACAAAAATAATCACCTCATCATCGGGTTCTCTCTGACTGCGACACAGTTTGCATTCATTCCCGTCAATGGTAATACATTCAAACAGAGGCAAAATAGCTGTCCAATACTCTTCGTTCATCGTTGTGCATTTGATCTAATCCAATTTTAAAATGAATTGTTCCAAGCAAACACAACAATGAAATAAATAACCTGAGGAAGGAGTAATCCAAATGTGCTGAACAATAACCGGAACATGGTGTGAATCACGAAACCGAGTATAATCAGAACTTAGAGAGACGGAGAAATGTTTATCTTGCAAGTTGATCCGACTGGTTTGCAATCACAAAAGGAGCGTCCCAACCTGATGAACAATAGAGAAACACGACCAGTTTCCTCTAGAATATCGCGAACAGTAACACAAAACTGATAGGCACCATATCTTCTAGCTGGACAAAGTAATTTTATTCTTTCCAGTTTTGCAGTGGTTACATTTTAAAGTTAAATGCAATAAAATAAATACAAAATAATTTTGCGGGAAACATGAGAATAGTGTTTGTTTTTTTGGGGGGGGGGAGAACATCACGGAATTCGCCATAGCCGACTATTATCATCGTTTATTTTAATTTCAATTTGGCATCTGCCATTTCACTAACATCAACGGAAACCGGTGATTGGAGTACATTTGCCGCTCATGGGATTGCCTATTGGTGAAATGTTTCGTTACCTATTGTAGAACGTTCATCATAAATTCATCGGTGAACTTTGTTTGGTTTGTATCAGATATATAAGCTGACCTGAGCTGAACTTCGACAATTGTAGAAAGTTTTGCAACCGTTCGCATACTGGTTCGTGGTCCCGACAGAAATTCAACACGTGTTCCGCTGGACTTGAACCGTTGGCATATTAAGAAGCATACTTTTTAAACGGTTTGCATTAGCAACTTCGCTGAAGATGCCCTTAGCTTGTCTAGTTTTGATTACGCTTATACAGTTTATGGGTTTTATGGAGGGCTTTTGACAAGCTGCATTATTTCCCTAAGCAAAGTCCCTGACTACCTTTTCACTACTGAGAATTGTGAGCTGCTAGACTAGCGATCAAACTAATTAGGCAATAAGTACGAAGCAGCCCACACATAATTGCATACCTGGTTTTGTCAACTAGACTAACCCCAAGTTGATCAAGGGTTCGCATTCGAGTTTTGTCCACTGGAGTGTTCCGTGTGCCAAATTCACGGATTCTGAATAAAACCTACAGGACATCCATTTTGCGTTTTATCAACAAAAGTCCATTGTCTAATAATGCGATCGATCTATCCCCCAAAACTGGATAATCGTCATATTCTCGGACTTTTGTGCTTCAGTTTATATACCATCGAGCAGTGATTCAATATAAAATTGGTCTACAAACCGTAAAGTCATAAAAGTCAGTTAGTAACGTTTGTGCCCATCTATAAAACATTCCACGATTTCTTTTCGCTTAACCTGTGATGTCAATAAGGAAAAATCTGTTGATTATACGGTTTGTCAGAATACTTGAACTTTACCTGAAAGCTCATATATGTACGTGATTTTCTACTAGTTGTTCCATTCAATTGTGTATGGTTAAGCATATTTTGCCACTGCGCTTTGTTAATCGCAGAAATTGTGGACCAAATTAGTATTCCGGGGATAGGGAATATTACTTTGATGATGACAACTTGTATCTACACCGGCTCTCATCTCTGGTTTTCTGTAAACATTTTTTTACACCTCAAACACCTCCGTGAAAAACGGTCACTTCCATGCTTCATGAATGCTAACTCACGTTTTTGAATAACATGACAATCAGGGAATCGTGGGAACTGCGGCATTTTTGTTTGTACGAATTTTCTCCATTCTCAAAATCAGCTAGAGATAGATCGGTCGTGACTGTTAGAAACCCCTCACAGAAACTCAATCACCGGACAGTATTGCTAGCAAACCGTCGATGACCGATACGATATGCACATATTTTTAAGCCATCAAATCAACCGTGATATGCACAGTTCGCTACAAGCCGATACACAGTAGTGGTTTCGAAGCAAGGCAATATCAGTCAATACTATAGGCCGAAATGCACGATCGATTCGGTTAAGGATAGAATACGGCTCTATTGATGGAAATCATCAACCGATGAAATGTGTCATCATCGTCGTTGCTCTTGAATAGGATTTGATTGGTCGTTGCAGCCGTGTTATTGAGAGTTCGTCTCAAAATTACTCTCTTAACACTTCTTTTCTCACTGGAAAAGAATGGGAAAGCATCGTTTCAGTTTTTCTGTCACAGAGGATAAAATCGACAGGGAAACGATTTTACTAGATTGAACATCTACGTGGAACGACAGTTCTAGCTTTTCATGTGTGTATCAAGTATGTTAGACGCTCAGTAGAACTGTCGTTCTACGTAGATGTTCAATCTAGTAAAATCGTTTCCCTGTTGATTTTATCCTCTGTGACAGAAAAACTGAAACGATGCTTTCCCATTCTTTTCCAGTGAGAAAAGAAGTGTTAAGAGAGTAATTCTGAAACGAACTCTCAGTTACTGAACGCTCAACCTTCAAGTCCAGATGATGTACACAAAATCAATATCTCCGTTTCCCCATACTGAGACAGTAAAAGAACAAGAACATATCACAGTAAGGAATTGAAACATATATATATATATGTTTATATGCAGTACATTTACTCCAGTACCCATTTGTACCGTCCATGGAGTCATTTTAAAAGTTCCATAGGCATACATGGTAAGTAAAGCAACATAGTTAATAAGGTTTGGTTAGATACGCTTTGGAAATAAAACAGTTTGAGGCGAAATGGCGAGCAAGCAGCCGCGGTTCGGTGCATGCATAGGACAGTGATCCGGGGCGGAGGGGTGAAAGAGAAGGATAAAAGCTGAAAGCTACATGGCCGATAAGAACAGGGTGAGGGTAAGACCGGAGGATGATTGAATTTTAATTTATTCAAAATGTGTGTATAGTATTCAGGCCGCTCCCAGAAGCATAAGGCCGGGCTGAATCGTGTAAAGAAGGCTAAAAACGCAAACAACACGATTGAAGAACAACTCGCAAGCGATTAACTCTGACCACACAGAGAAAGACAAATTCACGCACACACACACACACACACACACACACACGTATCTATATATGGCACTTTGCGTATTGCATCAATGACTAGTCCGTGACTGAACACATTGGAGACAGTTTCAACGATACACAAAGGCACTGGGAAACATGTTTTTAGTAATGACAGGAATCCAAAAACCTGTGCACAATTTTCACAAAAAAAACATTTGAAATGTTTAACTCTGTTTTACATTCACACAACCAATTGTTGGCTGATGCTGGGAAATTGTAAAAGAATTAGAAAAACGAAGGTATTTTCTTAAGCTCAATTTTAAAAGACATAGGTGATTATTGGTAATGTGGTGTGTCATTATGTGTATCATAATTTACTCACAGTTAACCAGTCACAGGTGAACAAGCGAAACGCACGGGGTGGAGCGGGATGAAGCGGAGCGAATGGGAACAGGGATAGAACGATCATATATCTCAAAGAATACAATTCAGCGTCTTATTTCTTGGTTTAGTTTGTTTGTTTACGCAGAACGAACAACAACTCGTTGGGTTCCCGTTACGCAACGTGATGAAATGATAGCCAGGATGGCGATTTGCAAGGCGAACACACATCCAACGGTTGCGGCAAAATAGGACCAGGCGTAGCCCACCTTTCCGGTAAACACCAAGATTCCCGTTAGCAAGCAGGCGGCACCTAGGTAGAGCAAGATGAATCGTGTGGTCAGGTAACCAGCGCTGACCACAAACACATCGGAGCAAAGACCGATTAGGTCGAGGATGAACACAATGGCGAGGCAAACAATACCGACCAGGAGGAGTGCAATCACAGCGATCACAGCATCCTTGTAACCATGACGTTGACAGGAGTCAAACAGACCTCCACAACCCCAACGTGAGGTGGCTAAACCAACGGCCACAAGGGCAATGGCTAGACCCAGGAGAATAGTAGCCAAACGACGAATTTCTATCATTTTCGAGTCGGAGGTTTTGCAACGGGAGGAAACTGTGTTAACCACCAAATGAATGTCCACAGAACAGTTGACTAGCTTGATGGCTTTTGTCCAAGGTCGTTCGCATGCGTTTGTGTGTGTCCGTGTCCACGAACGCACCTATCCTCACTCGCGAACTGGTTTCAGGATCAATGTCCTTGGTTAGACTGATTAATCGACCAATGGAATTGAAGCTTATAGCCAAGCGGTCCAATCAGGTTATGAAAGGTCCCCCAAATGCGCACACTGGCATTAATGAAAAGGGGGCAGGAAAATCGACGTGTGTCGACAGAGGGGGATGCCCATCGATAATCAAGGCACATCATTCCGCGCATATTAGAACAAGAGTATCAAATGAGGCTACACAATTCTGTTTGCGGGCTGTTCGATCTGCTGTTCACTGCACCGGGTCATCGCACACAGAATTGCTGCCCGAATAGCTGAAAATAGGCACGAAATGGTTTTCTGTGTGGCACAATCTCACAGACACACATACGAAGTGCAAAGTTCGTCCATTGCCGGGTTACGACATCAATGTAATCGCATTAGCATAAATTTGTGGAGCCATACATGTATGTGGGCTGCGTTGCGCGTGCACTGAACTCGAAGCGATGCGGATTAGTAGTTATTCGAGATGATGTGCAAAATAAGAACTAAGCCAAAATCACGAAAACAGAAACATACAAGGGTGTGATCAATAATGTAATACTCTTTGATAAAATTAGAAACTCTCTCTCAATTGTTGTACAGGTATTGATCGAATTTGTGCGACATGACCCCCTATTGGGAAATATATAATGGAGTTTTCACTATCATACTTACATATCAATAGCTATGGATGAGGAGCATTTATTCTTTTCATTGTACCTGACATCCAGTCCTCACTTCTGAATTAGAAACTGTTTTAAACCTAATTTAACGTATATTTTTAGAAGTCACTATTGTAAAGCACTGTGCTCACCCTCTTAGTTACAACAATTGGTTTGCATCGAGAATAAATGCATGACAGGATGAGTCTGCAACGCAATCTTTTTCAACAAGATCTACGTCGAGTTTGACAAATCAGTTTATGAAGTTTTGACGATGAAATTTAGTCAGTTTGCATTTAAGAAGTTTGTTAACGTGTAATGTGTTGGGGATTTAACAGGAAACACGGTAATCCTGCCAAGACAAGTGCACAAGAAAGCTCCAACGGGTCTTTTAGAGCCAACCAACTATTGTTTCGGAGGGCGATTTCTAATTTGGATTTGCTGGTTCCTCTGCCCACAGAATCCACACAAGCAGAAGGCCATTTTGAAACTTTATATGGGCATTCTAAATTCACTCTTTTACCGGGTGCAGACAGCAACTTGGCATGTCTGGATGTTTGTCAAACTGGTCCTGACTGGGATAACGCTAAACAAGTGGGTAACGAGAAATGCACAGTTTCTTTTTTCTCTGTTAATCTCTTCTCAATTAAAGTAACGTAAATCTTGAACTCTGTTTGATAAAGACAGCCAGAAGAATATACAAGGGGGATTGAATGGTTGATGAATCCCGGCATATGTGGAAGATTTGGCGCAAACCAATCCCCGATAAGGATCCTCTGACTCCGCACGCAGTGATAGACAATCAATCAGAAGCCATGTCGCACACTTCGAGAATCCAGAAAAGTTTAAATTCCAGAAACTGTGACATGTTGAGCAGTTGTAAATGCTACTAAGAAGTAGGAAACATCTATTCGGAGTGGGTGAAAAGATAAACTACATTGATGTTGATTCTGTCAATTATTCCCAACACTTATAATTACCCACTCTTTATTTAAAACGAAGTTTAAACAAGCCCTTCCGTGTAGCCTCTATGTATCGATGACATAGAAATCTTCTATGATTTCTTCAGCTCAACATTAATAAAAAACATTCAGTACTCAGCCGTTATTCAGGTTACAATTTTCTCGGAAAAATACACCTTTTCTTTAGGGGAATTTTTCTGAACCAATTACCGTATATTAATTCTGAATAATTCCTCCATTAAAATGCAATATTAGACTAAACACCAAGTTGAGTTTATGGCATCTATCAAAATCCACAACGGTTTTGTCATAATGATGCCCACCAATATACTTGAATACTCAGACACAGGCGTGATTTAAAGCTGAATGTGCTTGTGAGATCATGTAAGGACGAAACCAAGTAGTTGGAAAACGTGAAATACTTGTTACTGGATACATGTAATACACTGGTGTTTGTCCATATGCTAACCTCCGAATGTTCAGCGTACAATCTATCCACGATTTTTTCGTGAAATTTAATACAATTGATGCCTGTAGATAACTATTCGTAATTCATAATGCCATTCCTTGCTTCAACTGGACTGTGTTTCGTGATGCGTAATCATACCTAGTTCGAGTAAGACAGTTGGTCAACATCGGTACCATTGTTAGTACTCATGACCTTAGTAGCGGTTTGCTTTCAAAAAGTAACGTTTAACATGATTCGCAAAGGAGAAGTGTATCTCTCAAACGGAGCAAGGCGCCCATTCCACCGATTTGACCAGGGTCGTAATTGTTATGATTATCAAAGGCGAAAAAACCATCCAGTTCCGCCAATGCTCCAACGCGGAAAACCACTAATATCTATATCTTTTCAACTTCTATACCTTTTCAACTTCAAGTGAATCCACCTTAACTTCAAGTTAATCCAACCAATCGCACTCCATTGGAAACCCCGACAAGATGATTGGTGTTTTGGCCGTCAAATGTGACCGATTGGACCGGGTTTGTCTAAACCCCCTCCAGTTCGAATGAACTAATTTCTCGGTAAACAAATAAAAGTACATTTTTAGTGAGTTACCGAGCAAGGTTGAATGTTTCGAGAGAGGGGTGGGTGGGTCGAGGTGGGCCGTTCTACTCCGCCCCCCCCCCACACACACATACCCGTTCCACTCGGGAAAACGGTATGTTCGTGATCGTTGATCGTGTGTGCGTCATACATACGAATGAACTAACCCGGAGTCAACTGACCTCTGTCGATCCGGTATGGAAGCGAATCACACAAAGATGGATCGATAAGTCGGTCACCATGCCCAGACCTGAATATAACATGATTCTTTGTATGAGTGGAGTCAGTCTAGGCCCATAATAACCCAATGAGTAAATTCTATTGAGGCCGAGTTTCTTTCGAATAAAACCGATTCCTTTGAATCAAATGCGATTGCTTACGTAGTTCGAATATTGAAATGCACACTTCACAAGATACTTAGCATGCATAAGATGATGGGGGTGACTACTGTAATTTCTCCGCTCGAATCCAAATGTACGTGATTATTTTGACCAAACTGGAATCGGCCCCAACGGTTGATAGCTTGTACCAGTTACACCCTAAAGATCAGCAAAATCGACCTGCCCAACCTAGTCTACCGTTTTTACATGATCGTTCGGTTTGAACCTTTATCGATTGACCTTTGTCGGTCGAGTAAGAAAGCGAATCATGTCAAGATGGATCGATAAATCGGTCACTATGCCCAGACCTGAATGTGAGCATGATTTACTGCATGAGTGGAGTCAGTCTAAGCCCTCAATAACCCAGTGAGGCCGAGTTTCTCTCGTATAAAACCCATTCCTTTGAATCAAATGCGATTGCTTACGTAGTTCTAATATTGAAATGCACACTTGACAAGTTACTTATCAGTGGTAACAATGGTGAAAGAAGTAACAGTATTTCACCTGAATAGTAAGATCAAATTCAAACATTCACTAGCTAACAGAAATCATATTTGTCTCCGTTATTTCCTGGATGATTAATACATTCAATTCACAATGGCGATGGAAACAATCTGGTACTTTCGGCTTCTCCCTTTGCTACCCAGCTTCATCGCATAGGTTCTTATCTTTATTGAATCATTGCTCAACCGATCGCATTTTTCCGCATACTGATTACACCTATGCGACCATTTATAGTAAGTAAATGAGACAGCTGTTGACAGGAACAAGTTACAGTTATCTATGATCTCACAACCGATGATAATTCTGTACCGGGTGCTCCATGGGGTATTAAGTAGAGGTCGGTAAAATATTCTACCCACGGTTGTCTTAATACTGAATGTCGAACAAGAGAAAAGGTTCAGTGGCACCGCGGATGACACTGCGGTATATTTCCCGAGCTACCTATTATAAAGGTCTATTCTGAACTGAGCTGGGCCGTTGTGTAGACATTTAACATTATTACTCAACTCCTTTGTAGTCACTGGCTACTTCCGGATCATAGGCATCCCGCTCTGAATCACCCCGGTTTAAAGAAAATAGTGCATTTTTCACAGATAAACCTTTTTAGCGAATTAAGACGGTTGATTTGTTCGCACGATTACCGGAAACTCAAACTTGATGCGTTCAGTCAAAACCAAATCTGTTTTGTCATCTTTTGTTTGGTCAATCTTGCGGTGATTAATAACTGTGAGTTGTTTTTAAAGAACAGCGAAAGGTCGAAACAGAGCGGTCGGCTTTCTGTACCAGATACACAGACGATTCAGGAAGAATGTGAATTGACCTGTGAGTTGCAATCACTCATAGCCATCTGACACAGTTTAGTCGAATGCCAGAGTAACTCAATGACAGCTAAATTTTTTTCTCAACTGTGTTTTCAGCCTAGTGAATCACCGGGTATGGCACGGACAGATCATTAGGTGTTGTGTCATATCAGTTAAAACAGAGTGGAAACTGCTGTTACTAAGGCCATAAGAGTGATCGCACTGTGACACCTTTTACATTTTCCTCATTTCCTGTCTTTTTCTCATATTTTCACACTTGTTTTATTCATTATTGTCTAACAATTTTCATATTGTGTCAACTTCATCCTTGTTTTCTGGCTTTGCCCTATCCATTTATCCTGATCCGATAGCTTGTTGTCCACTGAACATTTTGCACACACACATTCATTCATTACCAGCTTAAGCGAATAAAGCGCGGTATGGCTAACGACAGATGGCCATACGCAATACGTGCCCTA